TCTCCTGGCTGCTGGGATTGCAGGAACATGCTACTACACCTGGTATATGTCATGCTGGAGAGAGAAACCATGGCACAGAGCATGCTAAGCAAGGCCTCTGGCAGCCAAGTCACAATCCCAGCCCTCGTTGCCCCATAACTGTGTCTGGTGGCGCACATCTGTAATCCCGGCACTCTGGTGGTGCCGACACAACAGAGGACTCTGGCTCTACCTTCCACTTTCCCCCTACTTTCCTCACTCCCTTGCCCCGGAGACGCTGCAGCTTTCTGGGCTTTAAATCAGGTTCTCCTCAGCTCTGAGCTCTGAGTCCAGACTCTCCTTTAAAGTCAAAGCCAAAGCTGCTTCCTGCAGGGAGTTCCCTGTCCGCCATCGGGGCTGGCTCACATCCTCCATCTCTACCTGGGGTCAGGATCCTGGGAGCATGAGGGTCCTGGCTTGGGCGACTACTGCACGTGAATCTGCCTCACGGGCTTCATGAGTGAGCAGTGTAAACTCCGTCTCCTTGCTGTGCAGGCTTGTAATTATGGTATTAAGAAAGTCGGTGACTGGAAGCAGAGAGCTTTCTTCCCCTGCCAGCCCAATGACTCACACAGGAGAAAAGGGACCCGGGAGAGCAGACGGCTTGGTGGGAGGCTGGGAGGGGCTGAGGGAAGATGCGTGTTGTGGGGAGGGCTGGAAGGGTGTACAGGGAGGGGTACTGTGGAGGATGGGAGGGGCTGTGTGAATGTGGGCAGGACAGTGAGACACTCTGCTGCCAACCCTACAGACCCATCACAGCGCTGGAGAAATCCAAGCAAGCACTCGGGTGACTTTGAGGCTGCAGGCTGGACTTTGAGGGAGTGCCTGGACCTCAGAAACTCCAGGTTTCTGAGCGCTGTGATATGATTAAGCCTTTTCCTGACACTTATAGTCCAATGTCACCTTCTGTAAATTCTGCCTGCTCTCCCAACCCGCTTAGACAGAAATGGGGAGACCTTGAGTGGACTTTCCAGGGAGCAAGCCCCCTACGCTATTAACAGAGGTTCCTGGTGGCCTAGAGCTGGAGGCTAGATGCTGAGGGGCGAGGCTGCTGCCACTGGCAAAGAGAAGGCTTTCCTTTGGGATACTTAGTGGCAAGTAGGGAGAGTTCATCAGAGTTAGCCACTCAGCAAACTCAAGAGCAAGCTCAAAGCGGTTGAGTCCTCCCCTGCAAATGAGGGAGTGTGAGCCGTCACGGATCTCTTCTGGGCCTCTGCATTTCCCCAGGAAGCCACTCAGTGCTCCCCGTGCAGAGGACATGGGAACCCCACAAAGGAGGCGTGTCCTGCCGTTACTAGCTGTGGGTCTCTGAGGACAGGAGGAGGAGGCAGGAGGGTGAGGGAAGGACCCCTCCACACTCAACACATTAGAGGTTTGGAGGTGGATGTGTGGCAGAGGGGCCTCACGCACCGACACTCTGAGTGTAGTGGGCCAGCCGTTGTCCAGCATGGGGCCTTGGTCAGGATCCTCCAGGGAGTACTCCACAGAGAAGGTCACAGGCTTCACGTAGTCTGCAGTGTCCTGTGGGGTGAGAAGGGCAGAGTTCAGGGAGGGAGAGGACTGTTCCCTGGGCCACACTCTAGGCTCGAACTTCTACCTCTCTAGACTAAAGGACAGCAGCCTGTGGCCCTCAGGGCGGGTTACCAGGTGGACAATGGTTCCTATCAAGGTGGAAAGTGTGTGCCAGGTAAAAAGCATATGCCAGTCTTGTGTCCTGAAGTTTTACCACACTCCTGTTCACCCTTCAAAACCCCAACTCTCATGGCTCAGATTCCTTGGTCCTTCAGGAAGCCTGGCAGGCACCTTCCTCCTCCCTCCAGAATGGTTACTTCGGCTTCTCCCATGGCATTGAAGTCACTTAACCGTTTTTGTCTTTGTTTTGTTTGTTTCACTATATAGCCCAGGCTAGCCCCAAACACAATCTTCCTGCCTCGGCCTCCTGAGAACTGGGATTACTTACAGGCATGTACCATGCTCAGCTGGTGTGCCTGACTTTCCTCCCCATCAAGGAATAGTCCAGAAACGTCTTAGTGTGGCCCAACCATTGTGATATGGCCTCATAACGTTGAATAAGTGAGTGAACGAAAGAACGTGTGAACAAGACAAGGAGATTCAGTTTGTCCTGACTACGGATGACAAATGACGGGCACTCCAAGCTGCCTATAGCACCTGTGCCCGAGAGCTATAGTCAGCACACTTGGCATTCTGTATAGAGGCAAAACTCTTTCTCATTCAGTGATGGGTACCAGGCCGTCACCTCTCTTGGGATGCCAGTGGTCCACATGCCCATGCCTCTGCCTGCCTTACCAGGTCTCCATCTCCATGCCACCCTGCTCTTCTGACTTTCGTCACGGGTGGTGGCTCTCTCTCTCATCGTCTCAGATGAACTTACTTCCCCAATTTCATTCCTTCTAGGGGTGCGCGTCTGGGAAAGCGGGGGTTTGTGGTACAGTGGGTGGTACAACCAGGAGGGCTTCTGTCTGGGGCCTGAGGAGGGGTCCTGGCCAAGGTTGGCCACACTGCTCTCTGGCTATCCCATGAGGGCTCGGAACTGGCCTGGCACCGATGGGGCCGTCACTTCCTACAGATGTCCCTCCACTCGGTACCCTTCTTGTAGGGCTTGCGGCCTGCTCATGGGCTGCTGGGCTCACCAGGACGTGGAAGTTGATCCTTTGGCAGTGTTCCTGGCCAGAGGAGAGTAGCACAGCCCTGTTGGTGAACTGGTCTCCGCCCTCATCCAGATGTGCCCGTGGCATGTACCGTCTCTCATCCATGGTGGCATTGTATCTGATTCCTGGGAGAGGGGAGAGGGGAGAGGGCAAGACCAGGCTGGGTCTTCATCCCATCCTAGATTGTTCACCTCTGGGCTGCCCTCATCCCTCACAGGCATCTGGAAGCTAGAAGCTTCCATATTGGGAGTAAGAGATATGGTGAGGAGGAAGGAGATGAAGAGGAGGAGAGAAGGTGTGAGAACAGCAGGAGGGAGGAAGGAAGGGAGAGAAGTGAGCCTTGCAAAAATGGGAGGGACGGGCCGGGCTAATGTTGCTCAGTGCTGTTGACCAACAACCTCCCCAGCCCTCCCTCCAATGCCTCCACTATCAGACTTTCTGCAGCCTACAAAAATCTGACAGGAATGATAGTGTCTTCTGTCCCCCCAGGCAGCCCTCTAGTGGCTGTATCCTTGAATCTTTGTTCTGTCATAGATAATACTTCCAAGAAAAGTGCCCAATCATTAGGCAGGGTATGTCTTCATCTCTCCCTCACAGCTTTTCTTCGTCTGGTTTTGTGTCATCACTGGAAGGGCTACTACCTGTGATCTCTATTACATCTTTCACCTCCAGGGCTGCATGGTCCAGGAAGCAGGCACCTGCATCTAATCTGATGTAAAAGGAGAGGACCCTTCCCAGGCCCATGGCCCTGCTGGGTGCCACACGCCCAGCTCCTGGTCCCCAGCTCCTCACTGCTGGCTCCAGGTTGGCTCCTTGAGTCTGTCTGACTCCTGGACACCTCTCTGTAGTCTACCGTCTGCCTTTTGCATCCCATTTAAGATACAACCAAGGGACGTTCCTCGGTCCCTGGCCTTTCCCATCAGCTCTGCCCACCACCACTCTTTCCCTGGCAGGAATCTCTTGAAAGGAGAGCATCAGAGACTATCTAGCAGGCATCTAAGGTGCCTCAGGGTGTGACCTGGCACTTAGAACCCATTTCGGGAAAGGCCCAGGCAGTAAGCTAGAACAATCACAAAACCCACAGAGAGATTGGAGCTTGGTTTACCGACGGTTGCTGTCTGGAAGTGGGGTGCCAGGAAGACAGGCATGAAGCAGAGGAAAGCAGCCAGACAGGTGGCATCCCTCCCATTGCGATTGCAGTCCTTGTGGAAGATGTTGATCTTGGGGGGCTCAAAGTGGAGGCTGGCGTTGATCTGAACCACGGGGCGGGCCCTGGAGAAGACAGGCACTTCAGCTAGGACGGGCTGGAGTTCTGACTGCCTGGCTGGGACCGAGGGACAGAGGGACAGACCTAGAGGGTGTGGTGTGGTGGATGAGACAAAGAAACCTCAGGAAACTACAGGATTGATTGGCCAGAGAGGGTGGTTGGGGGCTCAGCAGCTTCAGGGCTCTGGGATAGCCCTCTCTCCTCTTCCTCAGGGTTGTTCTTGCTGAGGACTGGTTTACCTTCACCCCTCATGTCCAACCCAACATATATTCAATCAGCTGGAGAGAGAGGGGCTGAACAGATGGCTCAGGGGTTAAGAGTACTGGCTGCATTTCCAGAGGACAGTAGTTCAATTCCCATCACCAACTTATGTGGCAGCTCAACCATGTGCAACTACAGTTCCGGGAATCTGACACCTGCTTCTGGCCTGTATGGGCACCAGTAAATACATGCATACAGACAAAACAGTTATAAAATAAAAATTAGAAAGGAGAAAGGAAGTGTTATGAGCTTGACTAATCCAAGGCTTTCCCAGAAGCTCTCCAAAATGACAAAAGGAATCTAGCTCTGTGTCCTGGCTCAGGAGCTGACTTGACAAGGCCAGTCTGGGGCTGAGGCCAGAGCTTTGAAGGAGTTGAGGTTTCAGTTACTGAGAACTTGGCTTTCCCCCTGAAGAGATTAATCACTCTAAGGCCGCCGTGTGCTGTAATGTTCTTGAGGTGCCCTGTGTCCTCTTTGTGCAACAGGGCTTCATCCCATTGGATGACAGTTTCTGCTGACTTCTTCCCATTTCTCCCCCGAAAATAGCATATAAAATAGAACATAAAACACTTCTAAATAAACCCACTTGGCATAACAGATAGCTTGTGCAAGACCTCCTGATCCCAAACTTATCTGTCCCCTCATCTTCTGATCCCCTGGTCCTCTCTCTCAGGAAGGAACAGTGGAGCAAAGCAAAGAAAAAAGAAAGAGAGGAAAAAGGAAAAGGAAAAGGAAACCCATGTCAGGGCCAGGTGCGGAGAATGTAGCTCAGTTGGTAGTACGCTTGCCCAGCACGCATGACGCTCTGGGTTTGATTCCCAGCGTCAGGTAAACAAGGTGTGGTGGTGAGATGGAGTGAAGAGGCTCAGACGTTCAAAGTCACAGTGAGTTTACAAACCAACCAACAAACAAGAAATCCCATGCCGAGGCCGCACCCCAGGTCACTAAACTGAGTGAGGCACGAGCGAGCGTGTTTAAATGGCGTCTCTCAAGTTTTAATCTGCATGCAGCACCTCCTACAGATATCTTGTTATGGCACAGATCCAATGCCGTCGGTCAGCACAGACTCAGAAAGTCCACTGGGCCCTGGAGTGAGGCTGAGTGGATGGTGGATGGAGCATAAGTGAGGGGCAAAGGGTCAGATGCCGAAAGTGTCAGTGTTAAGGTGATGAAAGATGGCTGACCTTTTCTTCTTCAAATTTTAAATTAGTGCAAAAAAACCTAGATAATGAAATTGATCTCATCAACAAATCTTTAAAAAGCTCCAATCAGCCTGACACGATGGCATAAAACCTTTAACCTCAGCAGAGACAGTTGGGTCTCTGTGAGCTCGAGGCCAGCCTGGTCTAGATAGTGAGTTCCAGGCTAACCATGGCTACATTTTAAAAGTAGTAGTACACAAGAAAATGCATGGGCTTTTCTAAAACACTGATGTGGAACCACAAAAAAAAAAAAAAAGGAACCAGGTAGTGGTGGCACTTGCCTTTAATCCCAGCACTTGGGAGGCCAAGGCAGGTGTACCTCTGGGAATTGGAAGCCAGCCTGGTCTTGGGGACAAGAAAAGGAAATGAAGAGGGGTTGGAAGAAAGAAACCCCTGTAGTCTGTGTTCATTCCGTGCTGGAGGGGAGGAAAATGCCTTCCAGAGGAGGCTCAGCGTTCCCTCTGAGTGCCCTGGGAGGCTGCAGTGCGAGAGACGCTGCCGAAGTCAGAGTGTAGGAAAAGTTCTGGGGTGAGGGACAGATTGTGGATCTGAAAGAGGTCAAAAGAATTAGGACTCCAAGGTTACACAGGATGGGGGAGGCTCATGATTAATTTGGGTGACAGAAGTTAAAATCAAGAGGCAAGGGACCTGAAGCGGATCTTTGAAACACTCTATTCAGATAACCCTCAGGGAAGTCGTCTAGTTAGAGAAAACAGAGGAACCAACCACAAAACCACAGCATTGCCCAGGGCGCCCACTGCCAGGTCCACCAGCCCATCCTCATTGAGGTCCAGTTGTCCATGGATGCTGCAGCCAAAATGCTGCAGGCCGGGAGCCAGCTCCGAGGCTGCTATTCTCTGCGGGAAGAGGAGAGAAAGGGTGTGTGTACTGTGAGCCCAGGTTAGTTGGGGGGGGGAGGTGGGACAGACAATTCTGAGCTCTGAGAACCTGGCAGCTGCCTCATCAGAGAAAACCCGACCTTTAAAGTCACTGTTTTGGATGAAAATATTATGTCTCAAAATATTCCCAACAAGGTTTGGTGGCTCACATTTATAATCCCAGTACTTGAGAGGTGGAAATAGGATCATGAGTTCAAGGCCAGCAAGGGCAACACAATAAGACCTTGCCTCAAAAATGTAAGTGCTGAAGGTGTAACTTAGTGCTGAAGTGCTTCCCTGGAAGGTACGAGGCCCTAAGTTTGATTCTCAGCACCACACAAAATAAAATACTTGGTGAACGTCAATGTATTTTACCTGGGCAGTGGGTAACAAAGCCACTGACGTTTCTACCTTGGTGTATTTATTTGACTGTCTTACTAATAAAATGTGTAGGCAAATTACAACTATTTAGATCATTAACTCACAACTGTAGTTACCTGGACTGGGCTTTATCAATAATCAGTCAGGGAAGGGAGAGGGGCTCATGGAGGCCCTACCCTTTACCATTTATCTATTGATAGATTCTGGGAGAGAGGGGTTCATTGTCTTTGTTGTGTACCTATTGTTGAACCGCCAAGCTCCAACACGTAGCTCCCATAGTTACACAGATGGCCCTGGTAAATCTTAGCCAGTGTTACCAAAACCAAAACCAAAATGAGTGAGAGGTGTGTGTGTGGGGAGTGAACAGAGGTTGTAGGGAGGTGAGAATGGTCAGTATGCATGGTGCACATATGTGAAATTATAAATCAAATGGATAGGCCAGATGTAGTAGCACACACCTTTAACACCAGCTTGGGAGGCAGAGTTAGGTGGAGCTCTGTGAGTTTGAGGCCAGCCAGGGCCGTGCAGGTCAACCTTTTTTTCCAAAACATGAAAGACAGAAAGAAAGAAAGGAAAAGAGAAAGAAGGAAAAATAAGATGGGGTTGGAGAGATGGCTTAGTGGTTAAGAGTACTTGCTCTTACAGAGGACTCAAGTTTGAGTCCCAGCACCTGTGTTTTAGCTCACAGCCATCACCTGTGTGTGGATTCCCAGTCAGCGCTAACTCTGGTTCCAGGGAATCATACATCTTCTTCTGACCTCCATGGGCACCAGGCATGCATGTAGTACACACATACATGCAGACACCACTCATATATGAAGCAAATAAGTATTTTTAAAAACCCTGGCTACCCTTGCAGAGGACCTGAATTTTGTTCCTAGCATCCAAATGCCAGCTAACTCCAATCCAGGGGATCCAATGCTCTCTTCTGGCCTCCTTGGGCATCGTAAACACATGCATGCAGGTAAAACATTCATACACATAAAATAAAGACAATTATTTTAAAAAAGAGAAAAGAAGCTGGGCAGTAGTGGCGCACGCCTTTAATCCCAGCACTTGGGAGGCTGAGGCAGGTGGATCTCTGTGAGTTCGAGACCAGCCTGGTCTACAAGAGCTAGTTCCAGGACAGCCTCTAAAGTCACAGAGAAACACTGTCTCGAAACCCCCCTCCCATAAATAAATTAAAGAAAAAAGAGAAAAGAAAAAGAAGCGTGGGCAAAATTATGATAGCTTCGAGGCTGAGGAAGGTCACATTTGAGCTGGGATGGCTCTGTCTGCAGTGAAAATGGAGCCCAGCTGGAAGTGTCCCAGTCACAGGGGTTCCTTTGGAGGAGTGACGTTTGGTGCCTGGGATTTTCATTGGACTGATTTTGTCGAGAGGATAAAGGTGTATATGGGGATAGGATGGGGGATACCCTGGACTTCAGTGTACCCATGCCAATCTTTCCACTAGAGGTAGGCACAGCCAGGACAGACAGGATCCTTCCTGCAGGAGGGCATGCAAAGAAACTGAACCGCAGGAGCACGTGGGAGCTGCTCACACTCCCCACTCTCCACTCTCCCCAGTCTCTGCAAAGCCCCACCTGTATGGGCTTCTTCAAGATGCTGCTTTGGAAGCCGTGGAAGATGTAGATGGCCCCTCTGTGGCTGTCCTCTAGAGGGGCCCCCACCACCACATCATTGTAGGAATCTTGGTTGAGGTCTTGAACAGAGGCGATGCATGACCCAAACCGGGCATTCTGGTAGCTGTGGGAATCTTTCAGAGTGCCGTTATACACGAACCGGTTCTGCAAAACCAAGCCCGGGGAGAGGCTCAGGTAACTGGACATAGGCTCTGGGATCTTGACTCCCCCTGCCTGCATTCCGTTTCCCAGAAGCTTTCCCAGTGACAGGAACCTAGATATTAGAGGTCAGGGCAGAGAGGCTCCTGTCCTTCCCAGCTGGCTCCTGCAGGTGGCACTGGTCCTCTTGGGAACCTGGGTTCCCTCGAGATTGGCCAAGTCAGAGTAGGACTGGCCCCTCCTGGCCACAGTACCTGTCTCAGGTTGTAGACATACACCTTGCCTCGTTCTCGGCCCTCGCTGAAGTACATGGGGGCGCCCACCAGCAGGACATCTGTCACTCTGTCGTCATTGATGTCCACCGAAGTGATCTCACTCCCAAAGTAGGAGCCTATCTGCGGCACATGGATGGGAGAAGGATCGAGCTGGTTCCCCAGGTCTCACACTGACAGCCCTGGCCAGGAACCTGGTCGTCCTTTGACCTGGAATGTTTGGGGTCCTGGTGAGCCCTCCCTTCTCATGCCCAGTTTCCCCTCCTCTCCTCTAGGCGGCAGACTTACCTGATTTCAGGGTATCCTTGTCTCTTTCCCTGTCTCGGTTGGCGGCTCCTCCCCACCCTCCTATATTTCCATTACTCAACTTTAATTATGGTTATTTATTCTTCGGAGCAGTGATGTATTATAATGACAAAAAGCAGAACTATTTATTATAATGGCAAAAAGGAAACCACATGAAATTATGAAGACAAAAAAATGAGTTACTCATAGTCTCAACATTCAGACACAGCCAGCATGAGTGTTTTACTGTATTTTCCTCTGCTCTGTTGTACAGTCTTTACACTGTCAGTTCTGATATTGAGAGATGTTTTTATTGTTACAATGAGATTGCTCTTCATCTGTCCTGATTATTAGGTATAACAATGTATGTAACATCCAGAGCCTTTCTCCAGGACATGTTTTTCTTCATAAAGGCCCTATTTAAAAAATTATCCTTTGAGAAATTTCAGACAGGTGTGTACTGAAACACAGTCAATCCACTCTCCAGATCTCTCCTCCAACCCCCGCAAGTCCCCTTCAGGTGTCTTCCCCAGCATCATCTCTTCTTTCTTTAAAAAGCAACCTGCTAAGTTGGGTGGTGGTGGTGGCGCACGCCTTTAATCCCAGCACTCAGGAGGCAGAGGCAGGTGGATCTCTATGGGTTCAAGGCCAGCCTGGTCTACATAGCAAGCTTAGGACAGTCAGAGCTACATTGTTTTATGCCTGGAGGTTGCGGCAGAAGGAAAATTTAGGCTTCCAGTGTCAGAGTGGCCTGGCCCAGTAATCACCAGGCTTCTGACCCCAGCCAGGCAACTGGAAGTCTCTGGGTTTCAAGTAACTCATGTAAAAAAAAAAAAAAAAGGCGTGCACCATCATACTCAGCTCAGGAGTCTATCCTTAAGTCTAAAGACTTTAACGTGGTCTAGGGATGTGGCTTAGTTGGTAGACTGCTTGCCTAGGATGCTGAAGCCCTGGGTCTGAGCCTCAGTGCTGCATAAGCCAGATGTGGTGGTGCTTGCCCATAATCCTAATAAGGGAGGTGGAGGCAGGGGGATTGGGAGTTCAAGGCAATCCTCAGCGATATAGTGAGTTCAAGGCCATCCTGG